AGGGACATTTGCCTCACTTTGCAGCCCCTTGGCTTGCCAAATCACGTGGCTTCAGTTCAAAGTTTCAGAGTTCTTGACCAGCGGGACTTGTGATTTCTGCCTATCACTCAGCTTTGCTGAGAATCTAGCGATTCTGCAACACTGTGATGTTTTATGCACCCCAGGCCCCTGTCTAAGCTCACCGAGAACCCCTGGCCCACTGAAAACCCCTCCAATACCTGTTCCACCATGTAGTCAGGAGGACCTCTTGCTGCCCCAGCCCTGCTCATCCTGAAAGATCAGAGGCTGAAATACACAAGCCTATGCCCTTTCCCCGCCACCTTCATCTTAGTGGGAGCTGGAATTGGAGACCAGGATCACATCCTGAGCAAGTCACTTGTACTTGCTGTGGGATGTCAGGCATGTGACTTAAGGAAATGGAAGTTCAGAGAGGTTATCTGAAAAGATGCAGGATAGTAAGAACACAGGGTTGTTTGAGGAGTAGAAGTAGGAAGATTATGAAGGCCACATGACACTTTATATCTGTTACATACTGATTTACAGATGTCACATGAATCCTACCATTTTATAATGCTTAGAATGGGCCAGACCCTTTACTAGGCCTTTCTGTGTATTATCTCCTTAAATAAATCCTCAGGATAACCTCATGAATCAGGTACTAGCTCCAGACCCTCAAAGGCTCTGACTTATTAGTTTAAAATGCAGAATTGGTACCTTATCCAAGACTATTTAGTTATTTGGTGTCTGAGTTAACACAAGGCTTTCAGAGTATGAATCTCACATGGTAGCGTTGTAGGTAGGTGTCACAGAGATAATTTTGGATGGGGATTTTTTTGGCATTCTTCAAATCATGCTGTGTGAGCAACCATCACCCTGCACTCAATCTTTGAATATTTTCAATTGTATTTGTAATAATTGAGGATACAATAAATTGTGCTTCTCTTCTCCCTGCAATAATATTCTCTCCAAACTAGTGCACCTGGAGTTTTCAAAAGACCTAAAAATATTTCTGGAAAATAAATTTTTCCGTTCGCCATCCGTCCCTCATGCTCCTGCAGGGCTTCCGGCACTTCTTCAGACACGGCTGCGGAAGCAGATCTTCTGATGCTAATGCTGAGTTACAGAGGCGGCTTTCCCCATCCATCAACTCTAACTGCATTCAAACGTTTTCAATATGTGGGCTCCTTGATAACTTTCACTGTATGGAAAACAAAATGGAGGGAAATGATTATTGGCACGAAAGGGGGAGGCCGTAAATCTTCAAATCAGATACAGGACAGATTGGAACAATATGGGTTCTCCAAGGTTGCCATGATAATGTACCTAATAACTCTCCTTGGGCAAAAAGGCAATCTGCTTTCAATCAATCTTGCTTTTTCTGAGCAAAAATACCAATTATGTTGAAGGAAGATTTTTTTTTCTTCCTTTTTGATAAAGACTGCTCTCCACCCCAGAAATCATGCTGTAGCTAAAAGATATATATTTTCAATTGTCTAGAATGGTATTGGACAGCTAGCCCCAAATGGAAAAAGTCAATCCTTTTTTTTCTCTCCTCTCCTGCCAGCATTTGTCTACTTCTTAGGAGAAGTGAAAGCTAATTAAAAGCTTAAAGGATAATATTGATTGCATTGGAATATATTTTATATGTACCCAGCACACTTTCAAGCAAGAGAACCCTGACGTTTTTTGAGGCTGAATAAATCAGCTGTCTGCGACTTTGATTCAAGGGTGAGGAGGGGAGAAGTCACCTCCTTCCTTCCCACCTCTCACTTATCTTTCCTGGGGATGAATGATTTCAGAAGAGGAGGAAGGGATGCTGACAGATGTTCATTCAGTTCTTTGAGGATGGCATAGGAAGGATGAATGTTCAGGCATCTTCCCCAGACCTACCATTGATTTGAGTCCAGCTTTGAATAATAGCCAGACGTCTACTGGTATAGAACTTTGAACTTTACAATGCCTGGTGCAGGGGGCTGGTGGGGTGGTATTAACCTCTCAGCTTTCTCATGCATGGAACAGGAATAAGTAGTCTGCCCAGGACGACACACATGGGTGGTGGCAGAGCAGGAACGTATCTGGCTCACTTTCACATCCCCAACCAAAGGAATAGCCCCAACCACATAGCTTTCCTGTGGGGATACCCACCCGTTGGATTCATGTTGACCTTGTTCTTCACCTTGGAAGTCTGTAGACAGAAAGCATTCGAATGCCACCAAGGAGCCCCACAGTCACTGGTGGGGAGGTGAGGTCAGGAGGAGAATCCTGTTTCCCAGTCACTGGGTCACTTTGAACACCCTTGGCAAATTCAGAATCAGAAATCTTACTCAGAACATGCAAATTCATTTGTAGCCTATTTTGTCCATGTAAATAGACACAGGTGCCACATGTGCCACCAGAAACATTTTAAGATATGATATGATAAAAACGTATATAGTCCAAATGCTCTATGTATGTCATGTATTCTGATATACTGTGTATTTGCAGCCTTATAGTAATGAGGAGGGTAGTCCTGTGGGCTTTGGGCATAAAATTTGGACAGGTGGCCAAGGGACCTCACTCAACCTAGCAGATGCTGGCTAGAGAGCGCAGTGACCGTGTTAAGACGTCCCTTCTGAAGCAGCCCATGGACACTCTCCCCTCCCCTTGATAGCCTCTGCTTGCCTGATCGCTCAGTGCACCACCGTAACAATAACAGTCCATAATGGTGATATTATTAACTGCATTGTGCATATTATTGATTTACTCTTTGTTCCGCATCATTATCCCTTCACCAATGAGTTTACTGCATGATTCTCACATACTTAGTCAAGCACCAAATTACAACGGAAGGGCGGGCTCTCGTAATGGCATCTAATGGAACATTGCCTAAGCCGTCATCACTCCTCCTGTTATGAGCTGCCTCCGGCCAGTGAGCTTTCTGCCTTATTGGAGTGTGCACAGAGCAATTATGAAGTGCAAGGGAACTGGCCATTCTAAGTTTTACCCAAGAAGTGACCATGCTGCACGTGCACCACCTGCCCAAGTCTCAAAGGCAGCTGGAGATTCAGCCTCTGTCACTACCAGCCTGAGGGGTTCAGGGACATGAGAGGAGCCCCTTGCTGCACATAGACTCTGCACTGGAAGCCAGTGGTTTCTTCTCCACACTCAGTCCTGGCTTTTGGTTCTGGGGCTAGCTTTTGCATCCAAGTTCTTACTCCTGAGTGGCCACCGTATAGCCCAGTGCCAAAGCCAGATGGGTCCAGGAGCCCAGAGCTGTTGGGAGGGACTGTTGGTCTCAGCAGTTCAGGAAGAGGAGATCATCTCCTCGGCGTGAGCCACTGTCTCCAGAAGCAGAAGCCCAAACTCTAGAACAAGGCGAGCAGTCCCACCCTCATTTTGTCCTGGATTCTCCCCGTCTTTAGGTAAATTCCTTTGGCTCTCATGGAAGTCCCAGGCACCCTGAGGAAGCGGCTCTTTGGGGACGCACAGCCGGGCAGCATGATCTTCGATTCCATAGGCGTCCCATCCCCATTTAGCCCTGAGTAATGCTCACTTA